ATTTTTGGTATCTTACTAAGATGGGGAATGCCTGGATTGTGTGTATGCTTATGTCCCTCTTTCTTTATTTCCATAAAGGCATCCTATAAAACAAAAGCCCTGATGATCTCTTGCTTGCTTGTTTATCTTTACCTTCTGAGTGTCTATTTTGATCTTCTAACAGAGGCTGTTAGTTATACTGATGAAAAACTAAGCAACTTCACATCACCTTCTTGGGGATGCAGATCATGTTTTTAGGCTCTGTAGTTTCCGAGACCAAAGAGGATTCATGAGCCCTCTTAACCTGCAAGATGTGGAATCCTGGATTGGGGTGGTGTAACAGGCTTGGGTTCAAGGATGATTTGCCCTGCCTGATCTTAATTTGATTTGTTTTGGGGTATGGGTGGGTATATTTAGTCTGTTCAAAAAAGAACTTTAGGAAAACCTAATGCCTTAAAAATTTTGGCTCATGTTGGTTAAAAACTGTAAATTTCAGATTCCTGCATTGAAAATCATGTAACAAAAATCAATATGGAATCCCATATGTAGAAAAATATCCAATGCCTGATATCTCAATTTTTTCTCAATTTATACATACCTAAGGATATTAATGAACTATGAAAAAAGATCAAGCCAATTTTTTTGTAGGATAGTAGACTTTATATGTCTACTACTATTCTTGAAATTATCTGCAACTTAGTTATCTACCTCTTTCTAAATTTTTACTTTTGGCTACATTACTTTTTCAGTCAAACCACTGTTGTTCCTAATTAGAAATTTAAATTACATCTGGTGCAGTTTGTACACACCAGGGAATATATTTATGTAATACTCTTAGTCAGCCAAGATACTTTTCATAAATTCAATGTAACTTCTTTTTCATAGAGCGCTTATTGATGAGATGTTATTAAAAAAATTGTGCAAGAATGTACACGTGAGATGCAGTTGTGTAACCCAGAGAGACCTCACAAGGAAAATGTCTTTCCTCCTATTTTTTTCCTCTATGGCACAGAAAGGTATTTTTCTTTGTCTTGGGCTAGTCTTTCAGATGTTCCCCTTTTAGTCTGTCTCACAGATGTGTGCTGTCGGGAAGTGAAAGCAATCTCACCAATTGAGACATTTCATTAAATTTCAATGAGATAATTGAGGGAACTCATTTTCAAAAATATATATTTGTTTCAGTGGCTTAAATGTTGCTTAATCAGGAAATGAGCAGAATGCTAAATCTAGGTAGCTTAGTCTTGTACAGATCGACAGCTCAGGAGTCAGCCTATTGAAAAGAAATGCCACTGAGGTTGAAAACAGCAAAGGCCTTTGCTGCGGGTGGAAACTAATTGGTCGAAAACATTAATAAATCATACTTGATATTAATGTCCAGAAAAAAGCTATGAGAAGGGATGAATATTTTTATCTACCAAGCATTACACTCTTCCACATGATATTAAAAAGTAAAAAGCATATCCTTAGTCTAAAGCTCCTTTTCCTTATTGCAAGAATGAGGAATAAAAGCTAAATTACTTGGCATGGCTTTCTTGTGTATACTTTAAATGTTTTAGATTTGGCATGTTCAGTCAATAAAATATTGCTGCAAGTGTTATCCAGGAATTCTCTTAACATAAAATGTGCATTACTAGGAGCACTGTTGGGGTTATGCTGAGATTGCTTTTGATTAAAAACTCTTAAATCCAGGGCTAGGAAATTTTTTCCCTCTTTTTTCCTGTACCTGTACTGTGTATGGCTGCCTGTGTCCTACACACAAGCAACAGAGATTGTATGCTATAGCCTAAGACTAAAGATATTAATGTGTCATAGGTAGTATACTTAATTAGATTTGATATTGCAGAATAGAGTCTTGGATAAACAGATTGATATTTGTTTCCAAATCTTTTCCAAAATTTCCATGGAAAATTCATTCTTAACAAACTCCTGGCAAGGAAACCTTGTGCCATTTCAGAGCCTGTCCTTGAAGGCTCAACTTTCTATTTTCCAACCATTCTTTTTCCCTAAAGAATTTTTACTCCTCTGTGGTCTCTGTGAATCTCCTTTGTCTTGATTTTTGACTACCTATATTATCCCACTTTAATACTTATTTGGATATCTTTGTGGAGTGCCCTATGGTTTCTTGAATTGTTCGTAACTGAAGTACTAGTTCTGTTAAAGTGGCCTGAATAAGGGTTTTGGTATCTCCCCATAAGTCCCTAACATATTAAATCCATAATTTGTGCTCAGTTAAGTGTTTTCATCATTCCAAAGTCTATCAAGTGGCTGAAGTTCAAGGAAACTCATATTTTAGGCTTTCTGTATTGAATTGAAAAGTTAGATGCAGATAGTTAACTGATCTATGTCAAAAGTTCTGGGTTTGAGTCTCAGCCCTTTTGCTTAAGTAACGTTGTGATCTTTAGTACCTGATTTAACCTCTCTGTCTTTATCAAAGGTTTATTAATCCCCAAATTCTCTTTTAGCTAAAATATCCTAAGACAGTGTCTTAGTCCTTTTGTGCTGCTGTAACCGAATATCTGATGTTTGGTAATGTATTTTAAAAAGAGTTTTTTTTTTTTTTTTAAGCTCACAAATCTGGTGGCTAGAAAGTCAAGACAGCTTGACACTTAACATCTTGTAAGGACCCCTTGGCTGTATCATAAAATGGCAGAGAAGCAGAAGGGGAAGAAGGCATGTGTAAGAGATCAAGCACATGGATGACTTTGCTTTATAACAATACTTTCAACTAATCCAGTCTTATGAGATCTAACACACTCCTGTGAGATGACATTAATCCCTTCTGAGGATGGTGCTACCATGACCCACAATGCCTCTTATAGGTCCCACCTCCTCTCAACACCATTACATTGGGGACCAAGTGTCAACATGAGTCTTGGTGGGCACAAACCGTTGAACCATAGCAGACAGCCTGATTGATCTATAGAGTGACTCTCCAAGTACGGGTACCCAGGTCAAGAATATCAGTATCACCTGGGAACGTGTTAAAAATGAATCTTGTTGAAAGTCGCCCCAGAGTTACTGAATTAGAAACTCTGCCCTTTAACAAGCCTGCCAACAAGTCCTCGGGGTAATTCTGATGCATGATAAAGGTTAAGGACTGCTGATCTGCAGTGTAGGCAAATCCCTGGTATAGTGAGAAGCTCTACACCACCATCTTAGCAGACATTGAAGATTGTGCAGTAATTTCATGGTTGGCATTTAAATCCACTCTCTCGTGTTTCAGCTTTAAGACTCCATGGAATGACTCAATATTGCCCCATATTCAGGTTTACAGGTACTACACACAGAATTGCAGTTCCCAAGCTCCTATAAAGCACTGCCATTTGAGGAGTGAAAAATCTTTCTTAGGGTGAACAAAGAATATGTAACAGATAAGGGATTAATTTCCAGTGGCAATATCCTAATTTTGTATTCATAACGTTGTATGCATGCTAGGCTACACATGCAAAGTCTGCTGATATACATTAGGTAATTGGGCATCCAGCAGCCCCATTTGCATGCAAAGGTGGTTGCACACCTCACATTTACAAGTTTAAAATTAAAGCCCAGTTTGAAGCTGGCTGAAGGTTCACAGCTAGGAAAATAATGAGATAAGGAAGAAATGGCTTCTGTTAATCAGTACTTTTGGCCTCTACTGTTCAGTCTGTGCTAATTTGCCCTTTGAAATTGTATATTCCAGGTTGAAGAGAGAGAATTCTAAGAGTATCTAGGGTTTAAGGAAAAAAAAAAACAAAACTACTGTTATGAGCTGGTTGTGATTATCCATAGTATTTCCTTTAAAACTGTACCCACAATTATACTGCGGTCTGTTGCTGTGCTGTATTTTTGCTTTATGAAGTATTCGTGCTCTTATGGGACCATGTGCCTCAGATCAAGAATGAGCCAACCCAAGCATAGACTCACAGACTGGATTTGAGCCATCATTTTATTTTAATTCAGCTCACAATTTATCACACAGCTACATTGTGCCAGGCACTGTGTCAGATCAGGAACACACATCAATCAACCAGTTTCTTTCTCAAAGCTCACAATATTTTAACAGCTTTCTGGTAACTCATGGTTGAATATATTTGCTTAAGTGAAATCTTCCTTGATCCTTCTGTTTGACATCCTTCTTTGCTTCTCTGAATTTCTGATTATGTTCAACTCATATTGTTGGGAGAATGAGGAACCCAGTGGACCCAGACTTAATAAAGGTCAAAGTGAAAAGCACAAGACTATGGCCAATTGGCTACTCAGATGGTCAGAGAAGTTGTCTGCATTGCAAATGGACTGTATTCTCAGTTTATGGGATCAAGAACTCAACACTGTTTCCTGTTCTTTTAATGTGGGTCACATGGAGGAGAACATCAATCTGGATTTTTCCCCCTTTTTATTTATTTTTTCCTTTTCTTAATTGGTGTATTATTGTATATAAAGGTGGGATTTGTTTCCATGTAGTTGTACATACACACAGTATAACAATGTGATTTGGCCAGTATCATTCTCTAGTATTTCCCTTTTCCCTCCTTTCTTCCCTCCCCCAATTTCTTTCTTCTGATCTATTGTTCTCCCTTTGATTTTTATGAGATCCGCCTCCTCCCCAACCTTTTCTTTTTTTCTCTCTAGCTTCCACATATGGAAGAAAACATACAACCCTTGACCTTTGAGTTTGGCTTATTTTGCTAAAGAAGTTTCTTAAGGAGACTGCCAATCTTAAAAGGATTTACCCACAAGCGCCACCTAGAGGAACAATAGAGCCCTACAGTATCAGTACCAAGAACCATTGGTGAAGCAGTTCTAACAAGACCTTGTCTCTTCATCCACCATTTTATGTTTCCATATTTGATTCTGTATATTTATCTTACTCTGACAACCAGAGTTCAAGACCCTGGAGTACAGACCCGGATCTTAAGAAATTTATCTTCCATAATTCTCATCTGTTGGTAATGATCGCTAACTAGTACAGTGTATTAGTGTATTACATAATGATGGCTTAGTAGTTTCTCATGCCATTAACCATTTTTTCCTCTTCATTCTAGCACAGGTGCATATACCATGATTGCACCAAATGAAAGCCGGAGACATCAGATACAGAGGAGTATGTATATTTATTAACATTCAGAATGGTTCTTATTTTCTTTACAATTGGTTTGTTTTGGACTGAAGTATTTATCTTTTCTGATATGTTTAGCTGCACTGGATCTCAAGAAGGATTTTCTTTTTGAATTTTAGCAGTTTTAGTTATACCTTTAAAATTATTCTATTTGTTAACACTTCTAAATTTGTTTCTCTTCATTAGTTAAAAAAAAAAAAAAAAAAAAAAACCTCATGACATGATTGTAAACCTTGGATTTCTATGGGGCTTACACAACTACATCTATTACCAATAGACCAGTCTTGTTCCTAAATAGTTGAGTTGGCAGCTAATATTTTAATGGTACCACAAACACTTTTGAAATTGACAAACTAAATACTAAATAGATCATGAAACAATCTTTATTATTCTTGTTTTATCCCATCCTCCTCAATGGAATTTTGCTTTAGCTTCTGTGCTCCATAATTTTGTAGATGTCCAGCCTACCCTTGGCTGTTTTTATTTGTGCAATTTGGATTTCTTCTCCAGATTCTTCTCCTTGAGGGCAGAGACTACATTACTCATTTTTGTGCTCCTTGTATTAAGCGTGTTTATAACATGTTTAATTGACATTTAGTAAATATAAATGGGGCCATTTAAAGGTATCTTTTAGTAGTTGCAAGGGGAGCTCAAGTTTTTTCAGTTCACAGTGAAGTTCTGAGACATGCTCAAAGTCAGGCTACGGTGCTAATATTGAAATGCTATGCTCTCCTTTTTTAGATCATTAGTGTAGGTAATTTAATTTTGTGAATAACGATAGGCTTAAGGACATGACACCTGACCCCACCAGAGAAATAGCCCCCTGTGTGGAACAATAATGGGTCAATACAGAATACCATATGATAGTCACAGCTTTGCAGTGACTATGGAAACTGCAGGCAGTTGACCAACAGAACCTCCAAAGTTCCGGCATCTTGCAAGCTTTTTATTTAAATACTAAACAGGAATTTAAATCTCAGTGTCGTCTGGATTTTGAAATGTTTCAGAATTTTTCTTTTTTTCTATTGAAAAATTGTATAAATTGACATTTGCAACTAATTGGGTCTAACCTGGAGACCAGGGCATGTACTGGAGCAGTAGAACTGGTATCTCCTGGTGCCCCCTGCTGTCACAAAGAATGAATATTTGGGTAATGAGCCCTGCTCCCCAAGCAGCTGGTCCCTAATACCAGCAACCAGAGCAGGGGTTCCCAGCTACAGTTGCAGGATCCTCATTGCCCTGAGTTGCAATGAACTTGGGGAACATTTAAAATAAAGTGAATATGGGCATCAGAATTCTCTGGGAATATGTTTACCTGTGTGTGAACCATTTTTATTGACATGGATTCTAGTTTTATAAACATTTTCTATAAGAAACCTTTAAAATTAATTGGACATTTTAAGAATACTGGAATGGATCTGGGTATGGTTGCACATGCCTGTAATCCCAGCTACTAGGAAGGCTCAGACAGGAGTATCACAAGTTTGAGACTAGCCTGGGTAATAGAGACTCTGTCTTAAAATAAGAAGGGCTGGGCTACAGCTCAGTGGTAGAGCACTTGCCTTCTATGTGCAAAGCTCTATGTTAAATCCCCAGCACTGAAAAAAAAAAAAGCCAGAATGGAAGGAAAAACTATGCACTATGCTCCTTTGTTTTGTTTCTCTGTGCAGGTACTTGGAGAGAAAGTGTCCCCAGAGTGAGCCATAAGGGGTTAGATAGGATATGGTTTTTGTTTGTTTTTTGGGCATCTTGTCCACTCATGATAACATGTGATTAATTGTCATCTGATGGTTGCTTCTTATACTTTGAAGTGATCAGTTTTCAAATCTTAAAAACTGACCATCTGTTATTTCTCACCTGGCTTAGTTGCTGCGCAAGAACTGTCCAACCTGGAGAAGTGGAAGGAGCAGAATAGAGCTAAACCAGTGTATGTGGTGCCAACACTGCTGGGTAAGCGAGCAAACCAGTTGTCTAAAGTGGGAAGCAGGGTCACCCATGGGTCCTACAAGCACCTATGTATGCCTCTTTCTGCAATAGAGATTGGTGGCCGTGCCGCTTGGGATGGAGTGCGTTTAATGCTGGAACAAATTAAGTATATATGGTTGTTTCTGTCTTTCTGCAAGTAGCAAATGTGTGATGCCCCAGATCTGTGGGAATAAAGTGATGGCTTAATTGACAAATAATTTAGAGCTCTCTTAGATGCTCAGTTCTGAAGAAAGCTTACCTGGGGCGCTGCATATGCCCTGTCATAGCACTAGTCAGGATAAGAGGAAAAGCTATCACAGCATATTAATCATGGCAGCTAAATGAAAATGTGAAGAAAATAAGGGAGGAGTCAGTTTCAAAGGCAAGATGAAAGAGAGCTGGGAACCCAGTGGTGGGTGAAAAGACAAATGTCACCTGGGCTTTCATTCTATGGATAGAGACCTTTGGGCTGCTGGAGCCACACTGCCAGGGCGATGAATTGTCTGGTCTACCTCTGCTGGTGTTTGGATCATCAGAGGGGATGCCACCTAATGTGAATCATTCACTTCCTTTCTTCCCATTTCTCTACCACCAGCAGCTGAGAACTTAAAGGGCTGGATACAGTTTCCACAGATAGTTAACAAACATGTCTGAAGTCGGGGGCCACTTACTGTTGGATAGTCTGAGAGACATATTTTTGTTTTCTTGGATCTAGGTAAAAACAGGCTAATTTGGAAATCACTGGATGATGTGATCCCACATCCCTCTGTTTTTTATGAAAAGGGTTAAGTTCATGTATCATCTTTATGTTGAATAAGTCATGAGGGATATAATCAGAAAATAGTTCTTTCTAACCTGTCCCCTCCAACCAGATGTGGGAGGCTAGCCTAGCCTTTCCCATGTCCTTTGGATTGGATGGAGTGAGAAATTGGGTATTTTTGGTCTTCCTTAAAGAGATATTAAGCTAGTTCTGGGCATGAGTCTCCTTTCAGTAATTAATGCTTACTCCTTTCTTTTTCTTCTTGTCTTTTTCTGGCAATGGGGGTCAAATCCAGGGCTTCATGCCTGTCATGTGAGTGCTTTATCACTGAGCTTCCAGTCCTGTGCTTGGTCTTAGAGTCCAAACTCTTTGACTAATGGAGGACACGCCCCTATCCCCTGCTCCCGCTGTCTCAGGCCAGGGCTCTTCCAGGGAGGAAACTAGCAAGTGAAGTGGGATGGTGTGGCTGGACTTTCCTCTATTAAATGCTCTGTTCCCAGATTCTCACTCCTCTAGGGCCAAAGGGGGAATGGAAGATGAAAGAGGTGAGGAAGTATACAGAGCCCAGGTGCATGAGGACTGCTCATTCTCCCTCCTGCTTTTTGAGTTCAGCATCCCTCCTTCCTAGTCACCCACCTCTTACCTGGTTTTTCTGACAAGAGACCATATAGTCTCCCACTGGCAGTGCTTGGCCTCACTGTTGGCGTTTGGTAAACTCTTTGTAGGGCCCATTGTTCTCTAAGGGATGCTCACAGGCAAGTCCCTCTGAGAAGGCTTTGGATTGACTTCTTCTCTAATGAAGCCCACATCGGAAGTAAGGGACAATGCGCATTGTTCATGCTTTCTTCCCCCATATTCTGTAGATTCAGGCCACTCATGTTCTAACTATCTGTTCTTGAGGACCCGTGTGAATAGTCAGCCGACAGAAGCCTTGTGCCTTTAGGTTCCTGACTTTTTTAGGCACTTTTTCTTACACCTAGGGATGCAAATTGAAGCTTCTAAGTGATTTTCATTAAATCTCTGCTCATCTTAATGTGAAGATTTTTCCTTTCTCAATAACAAACAGGAAAGAAAGACATGGTTAAGAAAGACATTGTTCCTCAGATTTCTGTCTTCCTTTCACAAATTCAACTTCTTTTATAGGCGGAAAGTAGTTGCCATTGAAGATTCTCCAAACTGGTTTTCAGTAACATCCTTGCAGATATTTCCTTGGGGGCCAGACACCTCCTTTTGGAATTTGAAGCAGTTAGTACCTAGTATCTTTCATCTTAGCATGAAAATGAGCAAGGTTCTCATTTTTAACTTTCTGTTGTATGAAGTATCTAGAAATAGGTGTGTGTAGGGGATGACTGGGGGCAAAAAAAAAAAAAAGAAAACTCTAGAATGTTTTAAATTTTAAGATGAATTTTGAACAAAATCTGTAAGTACTTAGATATTTGATTTTTCTCCATTTTTTTTCTAATTCTCAACTCTTTCCCCATTTCTCTACCACTTAAAATATTAAAATTGTAGGAGGTACTGAAAGTTCTTGGAACAATAGATAAAAAGCTTCAATATTACTCACTGTTTCTTTCCCATTGCCCTCAGTAGTGATTGAAGGGCCCAAGTCAAATGGGCTTTGTATATTTTTTGAAAATCAGAAGATATCTCTCTATGATATCTTTAACAGTTCAATTATAAAAACTATCATGAATGCAAATTATTTTAATGTATTTTCTGGAAAAGTGAATCTATCATAGAAATGACATTTTTAGTGACCAAAGCACCAGAGAACTATTTCTAAGAAATCTTTCTGATATGTACATCTAGTCTGCCTAAACACTGGAGAAATGACAGTTCTTGGATAATGTAAAACTGTAAATATTTCTGGCCCCAGATCATTTTTGGCTTAGAGAGAGCAAGCCAATAATCTTATATCCATGTTTTTTTTTCCTTCTTGAATATCTGAAGAAAGAACAATAAATATCATGGGTTGAGAATCAGTTACCAGTGAGATATTTCCATTATAGTTTGAAAGAGTAAGTTATAAAGACCTCTCACTTATCTAGTGACAAAGCCCTGAGGGGTTCTTGAGTTTCTCTACTTGAACTAGGTCAACAGAGGTAAAAAAAGAAAAGTAGTTGAAGCATCATTGGTCATTATTTTTATTGGTTGCACTTCTCAGGAAGAATGTTCTAGAATTTCCAGAATAGGCAGTATATCTTATTGTTTAGTATGGCCCTTCAGTTATGATTTTAATCTGAGTTAAAACTTTACCCGCTAATTGAAAATTTTTAGTAGGATGGTCCAGTTGAAATATGGCCTCATCTTTCTGTCAAGCTGCTTTTCTTCTCAGTAATTACCATTTTTTAAGGTCTTATTAGGATAACTGGTAATGTTTCTATTTCTGGGGGGAATGAAAAATACTAAAGCAACTTATGTTGTAGACTACTCCTGTATTAATTAGTCCTTGGTGGCTGACATTTCAGCTTAATATTCATGTTTTACCTTCATGGCTTTTCCCCCTCTGTTAGGGGGAAGCCAGTCGGAGACTGAAGTCAGGCAGAAACAACAACTCCAACTGAAGGAAAGTAAATACCAGCAAAAGGTCAGAATCCATCTCTTTTTGTTTAATTTTGGCAAGGAATTTGAGTACTAGCACTTTCAAGTCATTTCAAGTACTAGCACTTTCATGAAATAACACAGTAACTTTACTAAAGCATAAAACTTTTAAGCCAATTGCAAAAGGCAACTCTCAAAATTCAAAGAGGCCAAGAAATGAGAACTAAAGAAAAATATCTAGAATTCTTATCTAAGCCATATATGTATTAGCATGACTTTTAATTAAGGGGATTTTTTTCCTAGTTAAATTTATGTGTTCACTATAGTTTAAGTCTACAATTTTTTAGTTCCAAAGTCTATTATGGAAATGGTACAAAGAAAGATTTAAGATACCCAGTGATTCTACAATGAACACTACGTGTTTTATCATCAGGAGACATTATCTGCCCTTGCCCCTCCACACACACACACAGCAAGGGAAAGGAAGATAAAGATGGACACACATACACACATCCCAATGAAGAAACACACCAATTTCTCAGGCAGATGTAGCCTGGCCATTCTCTGTGATCTAAGTAGCTTGAAGAAACAACCTATAATCATGGTGAGGTAGAGCAAAACAATACTATAATTTGCCTTTCATCATAATTTTGAGTTCCAGAAGTTCAGAATGAAAAATGGCTAACTGCTTTTCTTTTTTCTTTTTTTTTTTCCTCCGTAATCACAACATAATTTAGCTAAAAAGACAAGAATCTGTAAGAATCAGGAAGGAAGCTGAAGAAGCTGAGCTCCAAAAAATGAAGGCAATTCAAAGAGAGAAGGTAAGAAGGTGGAGAGGATGATTTGCTAGCATTCACTGAGGGCTTTGGGCCAGGTTCTCTTCTAGACGCTGTCCCTATATTAACTCATTTAATCCTTACAGTAATCGGATGAGATAGATATTATCCAATTTTGCAAATGAGGAACTGACAAAGAGAGGGAAGATAACATGCCCATGGGCCACAGTCAGTAATTAGAAGAACTAGGATCCATATCCTGGCAGACTGGCCCCAGAGCTTGGATTCTGAATCACCACACTGTCTCACCTCTTAGGTGAGTGACCAAGCTATTAATTGTATATTTATCCAGAAGGCGAAGCAACGAGTAATAATAGCAATCAATGGTACACTCTCATAGTTGTATTCAAATGCTGAGTTTTACTGATTTTTCCATGTGAATGTGATATAGGCTGGCATGTCTGTCTTACTGATTAAAAAAAAAAAAGAAAGAAAAGCACATTGGCTGGTTGTGGTGGTGCACACCTATAATCCAGCTACTGAGGCAGGAGGTTCACAAGTTCAAGTCCAGCCTGGGCCACTTAGAAAGACCCAGTCTCAAAATAAAATAAAAAAAGGGCTGGGGATATAGCTCAGTGACAGAGTGCTTACCTAGTAAGTGCAAGGTCATAGAGTCAATCCCAGTACTGTTGGAGTAGCGGGAAGGAGTCATTTATATTTCAGTATTAGTTATATGATCTGTTCTAAATCTCAAAGTGATGTTATAGTAGTTATAATTTCTGTGGTTTGGGAAAATCTCTTAAAAATGTTTATCTGGGATGGGGTGGTGGCATGTAGCTTAGGAGAGTACTTGCCTAATGCATGCAGCTATACTATAAACTGGTTCCTAGCACCACAAAAAAAAAAAAAAAGAAAGAAAGAAAAAGAAAGAAAGAAGAAGAAGAAGAGATCATCTGCTAGAGAAAAATGAAGAATGTAGCATTTTTCCATCTCTACCCCTTCTACCTGCTCCCATTCTTCTTACGGTCTTGAGTTGCAATAGGTTTTAAGCTAAGCATTGGAGTTTTTTGGGCAGAGGAATGACACATGATGCCAATCATATGTGACACCTTTTGTAGGTATATGTTAAGGAAACACGATCTTTTCCTGATGTCCACCTGTGTTTCTTTCCTTCCCTCTTTGTCTTTTTTTCTTTTAAGGTTTGAGTATTGGTCAAAATTTAAACCTGATTATCAAGCCACAGATGTTTTAACCAGTTATGGTTAATGAAGCTAAAAGCTGATGGCTGATGGAATACAGGAGAGAAAGAGTCTTCCCCTCCCCTGAGGAATTCTCTTCTTGGCTGGGAGTAAACTGGTCTTCCTTGGAAGTTGTCTGCTGTGCTGTTTGACCTGGGGCAGGCCCCCCACCTTATCTGAACTCTGCCAATAAAATGAGTCTGTAAGCACCACCTCTTCTCTTAAGTTCAAGAGCATCCCATTGCTGTAGACATGTGGGCTCTGTAGGTGGAGATAAGACTGGTCTTGCACATCAGGAACTATAATAAAATGCTGAAGGTATAAGAAGACAAATGTAGGAACTTTGTTTTTAAATTTTATTCAGCAATCCATTTCCAAGTCATCTTTGTTGACAAGATTTTTTTTTTGCCATAACTTAATTTTATTGACTTCTTTCTCTATGTGTCTCTATTCCCCACTCTTCTGTTCTTTATCCATCTTTTCCCCTCCCATTGTTTGGTTTGTGATTGTGAATGGAATCTTGTCCCCTTTATATAATCTGCCTGCATTTCAGGCAAAACTGATAAAATCATGATCAGGAACTGAATTAAGAGACTTGCAGACCTTAAAGAATTATTATGTTGGGCTGGGGATGTGGCTCAAGCGGTAGCGTGCTCGCCTGGCATGCGTGCGGCCCGGGTTCGATCCTCAGCAACACATACAAATAAAGATGTTGTGTCCGCCAAAAACTAAACAATAAATATTAAAAAATTCTCTCTCTCTCTCTCTCTTTAAAAAAAAAGAATTATTATGTTGTAGGCTTTTATCCTAAAGGTCATTTTTAGCACCCATAATTGGCCATCTTGTGGGTTGTTTATGGCTCATTTCTTCACAGGATTGATAATATACTCTTTTTAAAAAATTTTTTTTAGTTGTCAATGGATCTGTATTTTATTTACTTATATGTGATGCTGAGAATCAAACCCAGTGCATCACACATGCTAGTCAAGCTCTCTACCATTGAGCCACAATCCCAGCCCCAGATAACAAGTGTTAATGGCCGAGACTCTCTTCTTCAACACCGAGTCAAAGCTGTATTTCCCCCTTTCCAAGTTATACCGTAACACTGACCTATAGCAGTCATTAAATACAGTGATCTCAATTGGATTGGCTTTTCTGAAATGACCGACTATACTGATTACTGGCATAAATTTGCTGGAAAGAGATGGAAGAAGAGAGAGGCCTATACTAGACTCTTCATGTGATGGGCAGCATCAGCATCCCTGGAGTTTGCTGAGGTTCAGACTCTCAAGCCCACCTCAGGCCGACCACATCAGAATCTGCATTTTAACAAGCTCTCTGAGTGATTCTTTGTGCATATGCAAGTACAGGGAACATTAATTTAAATGACCTTACAAAATAAGAAACCACCTGCCCTTGTCCTTCTGTGGACTTAATCTCTGTGGCTGATGGGCCTGCACTGCCACAGTGACCGAGCCCTTTCTGTTGTATATAAATCTGTGGCTTTTCATATGAAACATAAACCTATTTTAGTAGCTGGTGTCAGGTAGAAAAGTAGACATTAGCTACCCAGAAGTGGCATATTTCACATTGCCAGTGTGAAAATGGCCAAAGGAGATGGTAATGACTGTGCTTATGGAGCACTCATTCTTTAAAATGCACAACAAATATGCACATGGATTCCAGGCTGCAGTCTACTGTCCTCCTCCCCAGGCAGAATGGCGGCTCCTGGGAAGCCTAAGGCAAGGAGCCAGGCAGCTATCACCACTCAAGAGCCTCTAGCCTGGCCTCTGATTTTAACCTCCCTACCATCTTGCCCTTCAATTTTCCCTCTCTCTCAGGAAGGGTCACAGGGGACACTGGATCTCCTTCTGATGGGTCACTATCTGTGTGTGTAATAGAGGTGAGAGTGAACTGGATCACTGTATTTGTGGCTGTCCTTTGATCCTTAATGAAGGGAGAGCTAATTTTATGGGTTAGGGAAACATTTGGAATGGACACTGGGATGCTTTGCTTAAATATGCATTCCCTAAACCAGAGGATATGGTGTTATATACTTTTGGTAGTGTGTTAGAGCCACCTCAGACTGGTTCATGAGAATGGATTGTTACATTTTCAAGATTTTTATGAGTTAGTTGTCTTCACGGTAGCTTGAAACTGACTATGGTGGGAATATTTACACTACAGATATGAGCAAATGCTACAAATCAACCTCCTCTTTTTGTTTCTGCTAGATCTGGTTGTGAAGGGTTGATCAGCATGCAATGCACCACACTGACGGAAAGCAATGTTCTCTTATCCTCCCGTCTCCTCGATGTTCCAAAGCCTCAGAGAGCAAGGGAGGGCAATGCTTTTATGAAGTACCTGGCATATTGTGCCTGATATTTATTGATTTACAAATAGATTATAATTCATGTGGCAGGCAGAGTAATGCCCCCTTATCCCTCCTTCAAATTATAATCCCTACCAACCCCACTGTGAATCAGCCTCCTCGTATCAGAGAAAACATTGGGCATTTGGTTTTCTGGGTTTGGCTAACTTCACTTAGCATTATATTCTTCAACTCCATCCATTTACCTATAAATGACATATTTTATTCTCTTTTATTGCCGAGTAATATTCCATTTTGTATATATACACCACGTTTTCTTTGTCTATTCATCTCTGAAGGGCATCTAGGTTGGTTCCACAATTTAGCTATTGTGAATTGTGCTGCTATTAACATTGATGTGGCTGTTTTTAAGTCCTTGGGATATAGACCAAGGAGTGGGATAGCTGGGCCAAAAGGTGGTTTCATTCCCAGTTTTCCAAGGGATCTCCATTTTGCTTTCCATATTGGCTGCACCATTTTGTGGTCCCACCAGCAATGTATGAGTGTGCCTTTTCCCCCACATCCTCGCCAACACTTATTGTTGTTGCATAATAGCTGCCATTCTGACTGGAGTGAGATGAAATCTTAGAGTAGTTTTGATTTGCATTTATCTAATTGCTAGAGATGTTGAACATTTAAGATTAGATGAACTCTAGGTAGGACAAAGGGGAAGGAGGGGAAGGGAGGGGGCAAGGAGGTAAAATGATGGTGGAATGAGATGAACATCATTACCCTAAGTACATGTATGAAGACACGAATGGTATGAATATACCTTGTATACAACCAGAGATAAGAAAAATTGTGCTCTATATGTGTAATATGAATTGTAATACATTCTGCTGTCATATATAAGAAATTAGAATAAAAAATTTAAAAAATTCTAATCCCTAGAACATAGGAATATGTTATATTACATGGCAAAGAGGAATTAAGTTCACAGATGGAATTAAGGTTGTTAATCAACTGACCTTACATAGGGAGACTCTCCTGCAACCTTTAGGCAGGACCAATATGGTCAAAAGAGTCCTTGAAATTGAATGAGGCAGGTAGAGGAGAAAGGAGAGATGACAGACTGAGAAAGAGTCAGTCTTTCTGGCTTTTGAAAGTGGAAGGGTTCATTGGCAAAGGACTGTGGGAGGCCTCTAGAGAAGGAGAAAGACAAGGAAACTGATTTTCCCCTGGAGTGCCTAGAAGGAATGCACCTTAATTTTAATCTGGCAAGACTCATTTTGGGTGGCTGACCTCTAGAAATGTAAGATAATGCATCTGTGTTGTTTAAACAGTTAAGATTGTGTTAAAAAATTTTTTAAATATAACAACCATCGGAAACTACTACAACTCGTGGTTTTATAATTATGTATAAATGTCTTTTCCCTTAAATCTATAAAGCAGAGACAATGTTTCTAAAATATTAGGGCAGAATAAAAGAAAGTCAT